AATTATCACTAACATGCTATTGTTCTGCCTTTAAATCCCTTATTTTTTCAGAAAAAAAAAAAAAGGGGGATATGGGTAGGTTGGGAAAAGTTCAAGAAGATGCTTTTGGTGAAGCAAGACATAAACTATATGATACGCGACCACAGAGTATCCAAAAATCTGATCCCATGCTGCCAGTTTCACAAAAGTATTTGAGGAAGATGGATGCCACTGGCATTTAGTTCCAAAAGTGTAATTTGAAACTTTAATTGGCATACCTAATGTACCACACAGTTTAGTCATATGAGAAAGGAGATGTTTCTTGAATTTCCACTCTATAGAGTATTCACAATATTCTGAATATTTAAAAGGTATTTCCCTTCTTTGTTTGGAATACATTATAAAACTTTCCTTGTTCTATCTCTTGTGTATGTATGTGGTAGTCTTGATTAATAACTTTTCTTTTTATTGTAAAGTGTGATTGGGAAATGCATAGAGCTTCTATTTTTTTATCAGTGACTTTTTTTACATTGATACGGATTTATCATTCTGTTGAGGAGGATTTTTATATTCAAAATAATAAATCCTAAAATGAAGACTTCTGAGAAAAAATAACATATTTCATGTACATTTGAAATGGTTTTTGTAGTCCCTTACTTAAAATATGCATATTTACACATATACAAGCTAAAACTACCAAATGTGGTATAAATCTCCATAAACATGAAATCAATGTATTAATTATTCTAATAATTAAGGTGACCTACTAGAATGACAATCTATTCTGTATCTAACTGCCGTATCTTTTGTAGATTTTTTAAAATTGCAACTTTTTTCCTATTTCCATGAATATTTTAGGCTAATTTTCCCTTGCCATTCCCTGATACAGCTAAATTTGAGTATAATTCAATATGGCCTAAAGAAGCACACTTAAAGTCTTTTAAATTAAATTTAATAGAGAATACTCTAACATATGAGTTGATCAGCCAGATAAAACTCATTCAGACAATGAAGGCATACATTTCTACCTATTTTTTTTTCCACACAAGAAATTTCTTTATTCTAGAAATCTTTACCAGTAGAGCACAGCATTTAACTCACAAACTTTTTTCCCTGTTCAGGAAGTTCATATTAAGTAATTGTTTCCCATTCAAAATGAAAATTAGCCATTCTTTGAATCCCAGTTGCTGACCTGAAATTGTTACAGTATGATCTCTATAAAAGGTGGAGGTTCCATCTTCCCTGCACACCTAATGGAAGATGTTGAGCAGGGAGAAGAAACTGAAGCCTTGGAAGAGGGGACTTGCAGAAGAAGATTTGAGGAGGAGATGCATGGAACAGATATGTGAAGGAGGATGTGCTTGTTTCTCCACTTGGGATTTACACCAAAGACTGGGGGACATGGAAAGAGACACATGGAGTTGAGACATTGGAAGAGACGTGAATGGGAAACTAATGGGGAAACTCACAAAGGTAGCCATTATCTTGATTTGTACTCTGGGAGCATCGAGTGAGACAGGAGAGGTCTGCTGCTTCTTGGCCGGGGATTGAACTGGTGCTGCAGTGGCTGTCAATAGCTTCATAATGTTGAGACTTAACCCCTTGCATCACCAGGGAGATCATATATGTAATTTTCTTGTGTAGAACATTTGTAAACACATTTTTTGCCTTTTTATTTTTAAATTTCTGAACAATTCTTATTGATTCACAAGTTAAATACTTTAGATATGAATTTTTGTCAGAGGTATGAATTATAAATATCTTTTCCCTTGGCTTTTCACACTCAGTGCTATTTATTAATAAGTGTAAATTCTCAATTTTGATATAGTTTATTTATTATTATTATTATTTTTTTTTATAGAGGCATGCTTTATTTATTTGTTTGCTGGTTTGTTTGTTTGTTTTGTTTATACATGCACTGGGTACAGTCAGAAGCGCGGGAGGGTGAGAGAATTCACCAGAGCCAGAGCGGGGAGCAGAGCAGGCAGAAGGACCGAAGTACACTGCTGAGGGGAGCAGCGGGCGGCAGGAGAGGTCTGCGCGCCATGTGGGATCCTCCTCCGGTGGCCAGGGAGCAGCCGGGGATCGAACTGGCGCCGCAGAGGCCGCGGGGAGCTTCGCAACCCAGCGCTCAACCGCTGCGCCACCGGGGAGGCCCTATTTATTATTTTTTAATTTTTTAAAGATTTATTTATGCATACAAGAGCTGGGGTACAGGCCAAAGATGCGGGGGATGAGAGGATTCACCAGAGACAGAGTGGGGAACAGAACAGGCAGACTGAAATCACTGCTGAGGGGAGCAGCGGGTGAGTCAGGAGAGGTCTGCTGTGCCATGTGGGTTGCTCCCTGGTGGGCTGGAGATCGAACTTGTACTTCAGAGTCTGCAGATTGCTTCATAATGCAGTGCTTAAACCCTTGCACCACCAGGCAGGTGCCTATTTTGATATAGTTTAAATGATTAATTTTAATTTTGACTATAGGTTTGTGTCATGCTTTAGAAATGTTTCCCTATTCCAGTATAAAGTTAGTGAGCTGTCTTTTTCACCAAAAACTTTTTAGTGTTACCTTTCATATTTAGATATAAACCACTCTGAAGTCAACTTTTAGGTCAGGTGATGAGTCAAGACTTACTTTTTTCCAATGGATTACAGTTCACCTAGTACCACTTACAGAGAAAATTATCTTTCCTTTAGTGTACTGTTGTGTGTCTTTGTCACAAATTAGATGACTATATTAATGCTACATATTAAATTTATATATATTTGAAATTATGGACTATATTTTTCTATTGGTAAGTTCTGTATGTCAATATCATAGTCTTGTATTTTATGAAAGTTTTAATCTTCTTTAAATAAATCATCCAACTTTTTTTTTTCAAATTTATCTTGGCTGTTCTTGACTTCTGCTTTTCTATAGAAATTTTAGAATCAGATTTTTAAATTACAAAAAGTTCTTGCAACCAAAGCTCAATTCATCGAGATTTCCATCCCCTGTATATGCTATACCATAGGCATATTAATTTATTAATATGATGTTATTTGTCTTCTTTAATGCTTCTCATATCATGTATTTTCAATATAAGGGTAATTTTAACTTTTAAGCATTTTAAAATGCTTTTAAGTTCTCTTTATGAGTAGAATTTTGTATTATTGTGAAAACAGACAAAAAGTAAAGCTATGATTTAGTACAAGAATTAGATTTTAGTTTCAGCTTTGCTCCCAAATTGCAAGTATAAATGTGTCTTTAGCTATAAAATTAGATCAAATCTGATCTGGTTCAGTATGTCTATGATTTTAAATTTATAAGAAAATTTATATGTAGCTTGGAATGTACATAGATGTTATTTTATGAAGTATGGAAATACTGGAACTATCTCTTATATTAAATATAGGAGGAATAAATCTGGTGCCTATCGTCACAGGTCATGCACATTTAACCTTATGCACATCTGAACACACAAAAGCAGAATGCTAAATTCATGTGAGCTAGCATTTGCCTAACTCACATCATTGTTTAATATTAAAACAACATGTATTTTCAATGGTCTCACTAACTTACTCATTTTCCAGATCCACATCTGAATGTTAGTGGAACATAGTATAACTGAAGTATATTTATGGCAGAGAATACAAATACAGGATTCAAAATTCACCATGTTGCAGGAATTTGCTGTTTAAGTCTATTTTTTAAAGCTTTATTTATTTATTTATTTATTTATTTATTTATTTATTTATTTATTTATATAAGCACTGGGTACAGTCAGAAGCACAGGAGGGTGAGAGAATTCACCAGAGCCAGAGCAGGGAACAGAACAGGCAGACTGATGAAATACACTGCTGAGGGGAGCAGCGGGCACTGCAGGAGAGGTCTGCGTGCCATGTAGGACACTCGAAGGTGGTTGGGGATCGAACAGGCACTGCAGAGGCTGTGGACAGCTTCGCAGTCCAGCGCTCAACCGGTGCGCCACCAGGGGAGGCCCTTAAGTCTATTTTTTTAAGTAATTTTTGTTACTGTGAAATTAAGATTTCAAGCTAAGGATTAAGATTCGGGGTTAATTATTTTCCATTTTTATATTTTGATATCACTTTGCAATCTAAAAAGCTGAGAAATATGTAAAACACTGTAAGAAAGGCATCCTATAAATAAAACTGGTAATATTGCTTGATCAAGGATGAGATTAGTTACATATAAACATTTTGTGTTGTGTTGTGTTTTCTTAAGTAAAGTGCTTTGGTGTGGTATGTTTCAGCAACCATTGACATTTAGTGATATAATTGCATGCTGCTTTTTAAATGAAACAAATGCTCTTTGTCCCTCATTTTAGAAAAAATGAAAAATATTATTTGAGTTCTTGAATTTTCTGATACCCTACAGGAGCAATATAAGTAGTAGATCTCAGGAAAATGTATCATCCTGAAAATTTTTCCAAACTGAAAATGTCACTGGATTTAATGGGAATTTAGATAAATTCATATGTAATAAATCTGCAGCTAATCCTTATGTTCTTGAGGCAGACATTATGGAGAGAGTTAGTAGTACCCACTTATTACAATATCTTTCAATTTCATATTAAGTAGTTTTGAACAATTTGCTTAAATTCATGTCAGCTAGCATTTGCCTAAGTCATATGAACATGTGACTGTGTATATTAATACATTCATTAAAGGAAGATGAATGGAACATTATGAGTTGCAATTTTGTTTGGGACTAATTATCACAGTTGGTTATTGTAAAGGGTTAATTAGTAGATGGGTTTAATTTTGGATAGGCCAGTTTTTATGTTGCAATATAACTGTATCTCTACCTTAGTACTTTTCCAACTGAAAAGGAGTACAGTGGTGGAGGGGCTGGACAGGACACAGTGCAGGTTTTCTGATCCCATGCAGACCGGATAAAGGAGGAGTCAGAGTCCTCAGCGGTTTTTTGCAGGTCTTTTATTGGGGTTTACCAGACATATGGCAGGCAGGGGTGCTGGGGGGCCGGGAGGCTGGCAGGCCTCCCAGCCCCCAGCAAGTCTTCACTCTATCTGGGCTCTCCGGTGTTCTCTGCCTCTCTTGGCTTCTGCTACTTCTTTCTCAGCTTCTCTTTCAGCTTCTGCTGCTGCTGGCGTCCCCGTGATGCCGCCCTTAAAAGCAGTCTTAGCCCAGGTGAATCCCATCTACCTAGGCCCACACCCTATTCCAGGTGCCCGCTATCAGGCATGCATTCAGGACCACAAGGATCCATCATCTATCCTGATGGCGGGAGGGCAGAAAAGCCTGACATTTTTCCTTACCCTACAAGTGGCTTAATCAGTAAGAGAGTACAAGTCTATGTCCTACACTGAGAAAATAATTCAAAGTGCATACATTTCTACTGTTAAATGACCAAGAATATATTCATTTAAGAAAGAGCCATACAATTGAAGAGTTTGCCTATAGGTATTAACATATATTCAAAAACTACAGTTGCTTATTCAAGTATTCCCTTTTCTTTACTAACAAAACCCTTATTCTTTTTTGGGTAGCAGATTGGAGGAGGAGGCTGGATTTCAAGAACAGTTGATTCAGTCTCCATCTTGGGGATAGGTCTGTGATGCAATACTAGTCAATAAAACATAAAGGAAAAATTGTCAGTGGGAATTTTCTTTTCTAAAAAAAAGTATATAGAGATGAAAAGTTCTTTCACAATTGCGGATACTCCTCTACCCTTTCTTTCCACCTTTGAAGGTGTTATATGACTTAGAGTTGTTAGAACCATATTGCAATCGAGGCAATGAATCTATGGGTAAAAATTTAACACATAGGAATGGCTTAGTGGAAGATAGGAAAGATATCATGTTTTTGAATCATGGAGGAAATGAACCAATATTAAATCCTTACCTTCACCTTTCTTGTTACACAAGGAAAAATGAATCCTTCTTTGATTAAGCCATTGGTTATTGCAGGTGAAAGCATTTCTATCATACAAAACAAGCACTATTGGTGAAGGTGAAAATGATGAGGCTGCAAAGAGGGAAGAAGGTAGAAAATGTGAAAAAGAGGAAAAAAGGAACACATGATGGAGGAAAAGATGATTGGGATCCAAATAAACTTCGAAAAAGCAAGGATTCAATATTGGTTTGACAGCTAATCATGAATTTGATTTTTTTTTAAAGTACCTGTGATATAAAGCCCGGGAAATCCACCCATTCAACGAGCCAAAGAATAATTCTAGTGATATTCCTCTTTCCACCATTTAGTTCCTCCTGGAAACCCACTTCCAAGCTGAGGCTCTTCACTGGAACAAAAATGTAAGCACTATTAGGTTTTCCTGTAAAACTTCTTTGTAGTGTGGATAGCTGTGATTGGTGAGTCAGCTATCTGTGTCTACCTGTTACACCAAGTTTATAACAGTATTTTTGCTTTCTTTGCACAACAAATAAGCTCTGTAAGTATTAACATTTTTTGGGGAAAAACATTATGGGGTTGTAGATAATCTATTATTTTTCTCCATCCTGTGTTTATTAACATGATTTATACTATGCAAACTGAGCTTGTGAAGTTAGCCTGTTGGTTAGTTCATTGTAAGGTCAGGAATGGACACAGTGCAGGTTTTCTGATCCCATGCAGACCGGGTAAAGGAGTCAGAGTCCTCAGTAGTTTTGCAGGGTTTTTATTTGGGGTTCACCAGGCATATGGCAGGCAGGGGTGCTGGCTGGGGGGCTGGGAGGCTGGCAGACCTCCCAGCCCCCAGCAAGTCTTCACTCTATCTGGGCTCTCTAGCGTTCTCTGCTTCTGCTTCGGCTTCTCCTTCAGGTTCTGCTGCTGCTCCTACTGCTGGTGCTGCTGGCGTCCCCGTGACGCCGCCCTTAAAAAGCACAGTCTTAACTCAGCTGAATCCCATCTACCTATGCCCACACCCTATTCCAGGTGCCCGCCATCAGGCATGCATTCAGGACAAGGATCCATCATCTATCCTGATGGCGGAAGGGCAGAAAAGCCTGATATTTTCTTTACCCTACATTCATGTAAACTAAAAGAGGGCAGGGTCTGTGTTTATTTATTCATATAAGGTTCCTAATATGGCTCATTAAAATGAATATCATTTCAATAAATATTTATAGAATGATTTTCTTTAAGTAACAGTAATAAGTTTGGTGCAGCTCCTCTTTATCCTAATTATCACTTTGTACATCCAGTACCGACTTCATATGTATTTGCACATTTGTGCTGCCATGTTTCATAATGGGCTTAACATCATTTCAAGGAAACTGTTTTCTGCTCTCTATAAAAGAGCTAATTCTAGTAACTTTGCAATTGAGCCCTTTTCAGTGAAGACTTAGAATGAGTGTTATTAAGTCTTAAGAGTAGTTTCATCTCTGTGTAAGGCATTTACAACTGCTATTGAGCAAATGGTTACTGGAAATAATGTGGTGGTCTAAAGTGGAAGCTACTCTGGGCATGTAATGGCAAAGTGCTCATTTCATAGCAGGTAAACTTGTGGAATAAGAGTTAATGAAAGTTAAATCATTTTGAGTAACATAAGAATATGAACTTGGAGTGGTCAGTGGACTTTCCAGTAAACCATCTGTTTAAAATATCTAAATTTGCTCCCTATGAAACAACATTCTATTTCAGAATGCTAAATATATCTTAGAACCATCTCTTTCCATTTCATCAATGTCTATACTTTCTTCTTTCTTGGAAAGCACTCAAGTTGCTTGATTGTCCTAAGCACTCTGGCATAGCTCAGAAACATGATGGGTGTTTCTTTCATTGCTTAGGTAAATGTTGTTTAAGTCAGTAAGTGTGATAATCTTAAGCCATGTATGTGAGAAACCACATTCCAGGTAACTCAATCAGTTTGCTGGTCTCTCATGGCCCCCATGTGGGCCTCAAACAGGTGTTTGTTGCTTTTTTTGTTGTTTGTTTTATACTTAAGGTATTCTCCTCTACCCTACAAAAACATTTACCAGGAAGAGGTTTTGTTTTCATTTTCATAATGTTATAATTAGTATGCCTTCACACAAACAATTCTTTTCCCTTTTCTCTCCTGTGAGAACCATTAGTGATACTCTCCACCAGTAAAATCATAGCAGATAGTGGGAAAGCAAAGACAGTCATCTAAATTGTAGTTGACCTATTGACTTATAAAACAGCTGCACCGAATCTGAGCTCCTGAATCTAGAGTAACAAATGAGGTTGGAGTGGAATCTAAAGGGACATAAACAAGTGCTCTGAATAAATTTGTGCACTCCAGCAGCTACCTGCTAAAACTGCAGGTCAGTGTCATGTAAATGTAGTGATATCCCAAAGGCAGGCTAGTTGTGGTTGATATAAAATGGGTGACTCCTGCTCAGTAACTTGGGCTATTTTTCTCTCTGGGAACATCATGGGGATTTTGGTGCATGCATTTCTCTCTAGAAATGTGACTTTGGATATAATTGTGTTCCTTGCTGCTTTTGGGGTCAGAAATCATGATCAAGTTAACATCAGAGTTAAGCATTCAGGGCCATACATTTTTTGTTTTGTTTTTTAGTTTTATTGACATTCTGTTTTTAATTAAAAATACAACCTTTAAATCTTAGATGATAAATTACTGGAAAGCCATAATAATAATATAAATCTGTCTTTTCTCTTGTGCCTCCCTGAGTACTTGGCAACATGACCTTGAACCATGAAGTCTCCATCAGTACCTGTAGCTCCCTAGTTGCTTGGCAAAGGGACAGAACTATTGCATGATATTACCTGAAGAACAAAGCATGGGACACACAGATGCAGGGGTTACTTAGTGTGTTCTGAATCATATTTGGAACTTCATTTCTGAATTTTTGTTTTCATAGGATTTAATTAATATCCATAGGCATGCCCTACCTGTTTATATTTTTGAGAGCATGTCTGGCTTAATGGAATTTTTAAAAGAACTTGAATTTTTCCTCTAGAGCTTATTGTGTTTTTTTAAAAATGGTTTTAGTTTGTTGTTCAGCAGTGAGAAAAGACTTTTTTCCCCAAGTCCTCATGCATCAAAAGTATTAAGTTGTCACATACATAGAATTTTACAGAGTGACACACAAAATAACTGCCTTTTAAAGAGTTGGCCATTGACAAAGATAAACAGCTGGGACTACATCAAATTAAAGAGCTTCTGCACAGCAAAAGAGACAATAACAAAAACAAAGAGAAACCCCACCGACTGGGAGAACATTTTTGCACCCAACACTAATGATAAAGGACTGATCACAAAAATCTACAAAGAGCTGATGAGACTCAACAAAAACAAAGAAAATAATCCAGTCAAAAAATGGGCAGAAGAGCTAAAAAGAAACTTCTCTGAAGAGGAAATGCAAATGGCCAACAGGCTGTAGGGTAAAGAAAATGTCAGGCTTTTCTGCCCTTCCGCCATCAGGATAGATGATGGATCCTTGTCCTGAATGCATGCCTGATGGCGGGCACCTGGAATAGGGTGTGGGCATAGGTAGATGGGATTCAGCTGAGTTAAGACTGTGCTTTTAAGGGCGGCATCATGGGGGGACGCCAGCAGCACCAGTAGCAGCAGCAGCAGAAGCCAAAACCGAAAGAGAAGCCGAGAAGTAACAGAACGAACGCTAGAGAGCCCAGATAGAGTGAAGATTTGCTGGGGGCTGGGAGGCCTGCCAGCCTCCCAGCCCCCCAGCCAGCACCCCTGCCTGCCATATGCCTGGTGAACCCCAAATAAAAAACCTGCAAAACTACTGAGGACTCTGACTTCTCCTTTACCCGGTCTGCATGAGATCAGAAAACCTGCCCTGTGTCCTGTCCTGCCTTTACACAGGCATATGAAAAAATGTTCAACATCACTTGCAATCAGGGAACTGCAAATCAAAACCACACTGAGATACCTTCTCACACCAGTGAGAATGGCACATATTAAAAAAAACTAGCAACAACAAATGTTGGCGAGGTTGTAGAGAAAAAGGAACTCTCCTGCACTGCTGGTGGAGTGCAAACTGGTCCAACCTCTATGGAAAGCTGTGTGGAGATTCCTCAACCTACTAAAGATGGAGCTCCCATATAATCCAGCAATTCCACTCCTAGGTATTTACCCAAAGGACACAGAAACATCAATTCCAAAGAGCACCTGCACCCCTATGTTTATAGCAGCACTATTTACAGTGCTAAGCTTTGGAAACAACCCAAATGCCCAAAAATAGATGACAGGATCAAGAAGATGTGGTACATATACACCATGAAATATTACTCAGCAATCAAAAAAGATAAACACATGCAATTTGCAGCAACATGGATGGCACTGGAAGGGATCATGCTCAGCGAAATAAGCCAGAAAGAAAAAGAAAAATACCGGATGGTCTCACTCATAGCAGGAATCTAGAAAAGTGCTTGTAGATTCATTTCCTGTTCCTGCCCACTGAATTTCTGCTGTAACAGGAAGTAGAACCTAGCCCTATTCCGCTAACATTTTTACTTTTTTTGGCGGCTGTAGGGTAAATGGCTTTCAGGCTTTTCTGCCTTCCCACCATTAGGATTGCCCTGCCTAATGGGGCACCTGCAGTTCTTACATTGTTGTAAGCTGACTTGTTTACTTCTGTGGGTCATGGGAGGAGTATTGAGATAGTCACCAAGAGAAAGCTAGGAGTGAGAGAGACAGGCCAGAGTGAAGAACTGCCAGGGGCCAGGAGGCAGGTAGGCACCCTTGCCTGCCGTGTACCTGGTTGCTGCAATACATGTAAAGCTCAAAAAAAAAAAAAAAGCTTGAGAAAGCCACTGAGGGCTCCAGGACTCTCCTTTGCTAGGTCTGCTTGGATCATAGATACCCTGCTCTCTGCCATCCTGCCCCTACAGCGGCTTAGCATAGCAACAGTTTTCTTGACATTCCCAATGTGAGCTGATAACAAAGATTTTCTGTTTCTTTATAAAATTAATAAATATCTATGTGATTTCATGTTATTATGACATTCAGATTTCTTCTTTTTTATGTTAATCTACTCACTTTTAAAAAACAAAATGTATCAATGATTTAGCACATGAAGACCTATGAGAATTTTGCATGTGTTTAAGAGAATACAATAGGAATCAGATTTACTTTCTTATTTAAACTCCAGTTTCCTCATCTTTAAAATTGAGGTAATAATTATAATTACCTCATGGGCTTGTTGTTTGTGTCAAATAGTCATAAAGGTTTAAGAATAATGTCTAGCTTCCATTACGAGCTACGTATTTATTGTAGAAAAAAAATAGAAGTGATATGTGTTAGGGCTTATAGAGTTTAAATCTGTCTCTTCCTTGCCTTGCAGACTAGGC